AGAGAGAGAGAGAGAGAGAGAGAGAGAGGAGCGAGAAGATATGGTGACAAGTGGTTGTAAGCTTTAAGTCCTAATTCATCCATCTAGAGGGAGTCCCATCATTCAAAAAATGAGAGAGAAAGATATGGTGACATAAGTGGCCTTAAGGTTCAACTCCTAATTCACCCATCCAGAGAGACTGCCATCATTCAAACAATGAGAGAGAGATATGGTGACATATGTGGTCTTAAGGTTCAAATCCTAATTTACCCACCTACAGGTTGTTCATCCACACAAGGAGAGAGAACAAAAGTGGTTTTAAAGTTCAAACCCTAATTTACCCAGGTGACTAGACTCAATTTGGGATGGGGATGGAAAGCCGATTGAAGTGGTGATGTTATGCTTTGTCACAAGGTCTGATAAAAAAAGTTGGCAAACCCAAACTAAGTCTTATGTCATTGCTCTTGGATACCTTTGTTGGTTGAAAGGTGCCCACTTCCAATGGATATTTTTGGTAAGGGATGAGTGTCTCATTTACTCTCTCTCTCCTCCAAGTGATAAAAGATGCCATTTCCCTTCTGCGCTTTGAAAACATGAATGCATATCCCAGATACCAACAAGCTCCTAAAGAATAAAGAGTGTGGTGATGGCTCACTCTAAGAAGCTAGGGACCACAAAATTTTGGATCACTCATGCCAATAAAGCAAACTTATTGCATTATATGCATACTAATATATCCTCATGAATAAGTACATCCATAATACACAACATCATTCCCAAATAATTCATCATTCGAACTTTATCTCAACTAATTGGGGTCGGTCATTCCCAAATAACTATATATGCAAAAAAGTTTACGTTAGCCCAATATTGAGAAATCACGAACCAGATAGGGAATTGTGGTCACTACACCAGTTCTTTGTCTGATGGTTCTACACTTTATATCATACAACGTAGATTTTTTATAATGTAATTGCACCCTTTTTGACCTCCACTACATTTTTCATTAAGCCAAGCATGCACGCACGCACGTGCACGCACACACACACACAATAAAAAGCTAGCTGCTGAAAGACTCCTTAGCATACTCTAAAGCATTAGTCCCCCTTAGAATGTGCATTACATCTAAGATACTTACTCATAAGATTGGTTAAAGATAATTATTCATTAACGGGGGAGTTTCCTTTTTCAATTTGCTTTCCTATTATATTATATTTTTAATAAAATGGAGCAAGTATTTATTTGAAGAGAGAGAAATAAAGTTGGATTAGGACGTAGATTACCTTGGAAATAAGATAGAAATAAAAATGGATTAGGAGGTAGATTACCTTGAACTTCCACTTTGTAAAAGCCCCATCAATAGGTACCCTACCCTAAAACCTCTTGCTCCATAGCGTCCTACTCTAGTTGAATGCCATGTGTCTCAACACTTAACTGTGACTTAATACATGTAGAAGAGTTGATTGGTTAATGTAAATCATCTGGTACTATCCTGTTTCATTCTTTTCTCATGTTCACTTCATTTAAGAGTAAGATGTGGTTGTTTCTATCCATTTATTCACAAAAGCAACGAGGCAGTTGTGAAAATGATCTTTGCAATCCCACAACCTCAAGCAATTCACGGCCAAGTGTAACATCAGTCATAAGCATCAAGCTACAAGAGATGCATAAGTCAATGCATCATATGCGTGCGTGCGTGTGTGTGCACGAGAGAGAGAACCAAGAACCAAAGAAACGTTCCTTTACATGCATTGCCTCAAATGATGTTTTCAGGGCCAATGCGCACTCAGTGCTGTGAAAGAAAGCCGAGTCTGATCATTTAAGACAACCAACATCAACAAATTTTACAAAACCAAACAACCATTATTTGCATCCAGACCTGTAGATTTCTTTTGCTAAGATGCCAAGCATAAACCAGTTGAGGGTAATATGTATATTGGAAAAGTCATAAGGAAAACCAAGCTAACCTCATGGTGAGTAGCGGTCAGAATCAGATCTTATTGTGGTCTTCTGGCGACTGTGTATAGGATATGGAAATGAGCTTCTGCCTGTATTCTTCTGCCCCACCACTTCCTTTGTCCGTGGCAGCGGTTGAATTGATGAGGAGTTTGGATGACGGGTCAGAAGCTAGGGTTAGGTTTTTATCTGGATCCAACTGTGAGATTGCAATGAGGGACTCACGAGCCTTCTCTTGGGAAACTTCAGCGCTCGGAAGTATGGTTTCCATGGAATGTTCAGGACCTTTTGAATTTTAAGCTCCTTTCTCTCTGTAGTCCATAATAGTCAGAGTTAGTGGGCATTAATTTTGTTATTTTACACAGGTTTTTAGAATTTTCAATTTGTACATGTCAGCCATTTTCATTTAACTGTATATTATAGAATAGAAAATAGAGCAGACAATTGGCTTTCAAAACCACTAAATGATTGGACATATAAAAAGAAAAATAGTTTGGGGAGCAGCAGTTATACAACCACAATACTAAAACTAAGTTCTTCCAAAAATCAAAATAGAAGCAAGGAATAACTCTTCTTTGTATGAGTTTACAGTACAAAAAGAGTAAACACAGGACAAACCTACTATTGTCATCTTGTGATGGCAGGTGATTTCGAGATCCATAGAACATGACGCCCAATAAACACTGACCAAGCATCACCCTATTGTTTTCAAGTATTGCAATTGGCTGAATGCAACAGTTAAGTGAGCACCACAACTCATAAGAAAGAGTTATTCTTAAGGGACGGAATGGAATTGATCTCAAATGTATTTTGGTGCCCATGGCCAAAATGACGCCTATCCAGCCCCTCCTTGCTATAGTCGCAATTTGCAATCATCTAATTTTCAAGTCAGATCTCAGATGTGAGGGCCTACCAAAACAAAATATGCAAAGAATGTACTCACTAAAGGAATCTACATGAGAAAGCATATTAAAATGTCTCATTTGCGTCTCATATCATGATCCTATCTTCACTAGACTCTAGATGAGTCTATATATGCCCCTCAAAGAAGCTTTAGGGGTGAGATGCAGCAATACTGCTCTCGAGTATCTAGACAAGAGAGATAAGCTTAAATTTTACTAGAGAAACTGGAAAATTAGTCATCGAATCTGTCCTCTTATGTTTTTTTATTTATTTCTTCAATCATTTTATTCACTTAAAGGCATAAGTAGTAATTTCTAGAGTCTTTTATGCATTTTTATTCACAAGAAGACTTTTATAATAAATGGGTATGATTAGATTAGTTAGATGCCCAAGATTAAATTTTTTTTAGGATTTTTTTATACAAGATATGTGCTAAAGCATAATGGATGATCTTGTTATAGGCTTTTATTTAAAACCCTAGAGCAGCAAATGCTCCTTCGTTTATCTCTAGTTTTTGTATCTGAGCACATTGGATGATCTTGTTATGGACTTTTATTCAAAACCCTAGAGCAGCAAATGCTCCTTTTTTAATCTTTAGTTTTTCTATCTTTCTCTAGTTTTGGATCTTCCCTCTCTCTTCTTTTGCTAAATCCTAACCCAGGGTACCACGTCTACGTCAAGGTGGGACAGGAAGGGCTTTCAAGGACAATGCGGTGCAAATGAATTCCTGGTATACCAAAACCACGCCCACATCTTTAGCAATGCTACATGTATAAAATCTCCCCAAGGGCATCATTCTCTCAGATACCAACCCAAATGCAGCCCATCAAGACAGCTTCCCAACTTGTTGACCGTCATGCTTAAGGTTTGTGCTCCTTTTAAAACTGAAGAGATGATAGTGAGTGCTATAGGGTCTCTTCTTCTAGGGCTGATGATACTGTGGATTCTACACAATGCTGGCTTCCTTGGTCAAAAACAGGGAAAAGGAGCCTGCCAATTGATTAGATGTGGGAACAAATGACCATGGTAGAATTTCAGATGACTCCCTTTCATACAAAGGAGCCTGCCACTTGATTTGATTACTGTTAAATATGTGAAAACAGAATGTGGATAATCTAATACTCTTTCACATTCTTTACAAAAAATTGGGATTAAGCTAATATCAACCAGGCAGATTACTACATTTTCCAAAGACTATAAATTTCTGATTCTTTGTCTTCTTGCAAAATAATGATACTAATGCCTTGTACTGCAGAAACGCATACAACAGACAAACACACACTTCCAGTAGAGTTTGCTTTAACCATGATGTTCATGATATGTAAGGTCCAGCTTCGAAGCACTCTAATTTCTAAGGAGAAATCCATAGATCACGTTTCTTCTCTCAATTTAGGGTCTATCTCATGAAATTCAAACCCAAGAATAGCATAATTTTCTTTCCATAAGTTGATCCAACTTAATATAGAACAACCATAAGATATCTTCACAATGATTCTGGAGGTGAACACATGTTTTATGAATTTCAGAACTCCATAAAACCACCGGGAATTAGTCATTAAAGAACACAACCTCACACTATATAGAAAAATGGTATTATTTAAAGGAAGAACAAACACAATCGAGACCGTACAAGAGCTACACCTCTTCATCTTTCTATAGCTTATGGATTTTGTTTGAGCAGAAGCTCTTTTTAATATGGTTCATGTTACCATAGAATACCATCATTTCTTTCTACAGGTATTACTCTACTAAAGTCTTTTTTTCACTAAATAAACCAGTGCCAACTCATGAGATTCGAACACTGATCTTCAAGCATAACGGGGGTATTACTCTACTTAAAAGTCTTTACATGTGGAAATCCATGTAATTGACATCTAGAAGAATGGCGTATGCTTTATTCTTTTGATCCCCCAATCAGAATCCTAAACCTAAATACCTCAAGCATCTCGCTTTAGTTTCTCTTTCATGGAAAGTCCCTTGAACATCCCATCAGGCCAATCAGTTCTAGGAGGTGTTCCTTTCACTACCTCATATCATCAAACTTCTGTGTCTCTGTTTCATATTATCGAACTTCTGTGTTTCCTTTATATCTTTCACACTTCCCATACAACATGAACAAAACATCAAAACAGTAATCCAAGTAACTTACATCCATGCAAGGTCCAAATCTATTACTTTAATGCAGAGATTAAAAATCACTGCCTCGGGCTCAGAGTCACCTGTCACTCAGACTTGGAGAGGTGCTGGGTCCGGATAACTAACCCTAGAGTGAGTCTGACCCAAATCCTAAAAAATGCATAAATGTTTGTATTTCTTGATCAAGATTCAGTCAAGTTGGGCAGCCCGAGAAGGCTGAATCAGCCTGTGTCTCGGGCTAGGGACCCTGGTGAGTCAGAGCCTGAGCCCAGGTTTTAAATACTGCTTCAAAGACTCATGGTAGGTGTTTGAGGATATATTCTAGTCCACCCTCAAAAGATACCAGGCTTGGCATGCGGTCAAATGATACATCCAAAAGTATGAGGTTGATTAGGAGCAGATGTTGAACTCTCAACCAGTAAGAAAATGTACTGCCATATGAGCTCTACTGTTAATTGCAACCATTCAAGTGTGGTCGCACCAGTTAGGAAAAATCGAACTGGAAAGCAGTTCAACCGGCCTAACCGGTAAACTGGCCGGTTCGACTGTTCTAACCGGGCAAGTCTTGGGCAGTCAAAAAAGTGTTAGAAAAGCGATGGTCTACTAGATAGATGTTAAGCCATTGTTAACAGTGAACTCATACAAGAACCGAGTCTGGTTTGAGAATTTTCAAATTCATAGAGATATGAACAGTCCATTACAAAACCTAGTATTAAAACTTAGGCAATCACACTTTCTGATCATAGCTAATAATACTGGCAATAAAACAGCTAAGCACCCATAACAAAAGGAGTTTCAGAGAACGGCTATGGATCATATTTGTTGAGATTTGAACAAATCAAGAAAACAAGAAAACACGAGTGATTATGAATCACGAGCCCTAAATGGAAGAAAAATCAATATTCAAAGAAATTAGGGCATCCCCCCAGCTGTACAAAGCTGTCCTTAAATGGAAAAGAATACCAGTAATTACTCTGCTTAATAAGCAATTGGAGTCCATAAATGAGAAAATTTAGCTACAACATGGAAAAAAACACACAAATATTAATCAAAATTGATGGCATATTAGTTACCTGAAGACAAGCTGTCCGTACAATACGAGCGATAGGAGTTTCACTGAGAGTAAACGCCGGACCTTTTAAAGTCCCAAAAAATTCATATTTTATTATTAAATTAAATTAAATGGGGTACTATAACACGTGAAGACTTGGGATTGGTAATTCGCGTCGCCGCTGATGTGGACAGAAACCGACCTTTTAACTTTATTCGAATTTTGAATTCAGGACAGTTTTCGGACAACGAATTTCGGGATCAGAAAATTTGCCGGAAATTGCTGTTCTGTTCCCGGCAAAATAGCTTGGATCACCTTATGTTAAAAAGAGCTTGTATGCAAGCTTCCCTGGTCAGAAGACCTGCCTGAGAATTTTTTCGATCTGAAATTTGGGGAACCACTAAAGAATTAGCATTATTTTAAAAAAATAATGATAATTAAATTTTAAATTTTTTAACACTTGTATCTCACCATCTAAAAATTAGATGTCTCTGTTCAATCTCAAGTCACTATTTTTTTTTCCAAGTGCATAAAAGGTACAATTATAAATTCTAAATTGTTTTTATTGAGGCTAATTTATAAGTTGAAAACCCAAAATTTGGGATGCTAACATTATTTCAAGGTGGGTTTTACTTCAGGGAGTAAATGAACATTCTCCTCCCATAAGAACAGAGTATCTTTTGCTATTAGAGGGAGAGAGCATCTCGACTTCAACAATTACACACGCAACAAAGGTAAGTTTTAAGCTTTAGATAGCCCCTTTTAAAATGTATTTAGACTATTTTCAAGACTTACAATTTTATAATTAAAAGTAAATAAAAATTTTTAAGCCAGGGGTTTTTAAGCTAAAAGAGCATTTTTAGGGTTTTAAGGTGCGGATCTACTCTTTATTATAAAGCCTACGCCTTGCACCACACTGAAGAAAAATATGGACCTTACGCTAAATTCATTATTTTTTATTATTGTTTTGTAATAAAAATAATGAGAAGCAATGATGCCATTTTTTGGGCATTTTGGAATAAAGTATACAATATGAATGTCCACCTTTAGTGCAAGGTCATGATCAGTATCGTTTTGCTAGGAATAATGGCATCGACCTTCCTTAATGTCCAAAAATGCTTTTAAAAAAAGACACCCCTTCAAGCAGATTTCTCGAGAATTTTTTTGAACTTTTGCCGATTCAAAATCTAACCGTCAAATATGATTGTGTCCCATATTAAAAAGTAAATAGTCTCTTTGTATACTTTTCCATGGAGGAAAGGCTCACCTATCCTTTAAACGTAAGTATGTCATCCCATGGAGGAAAGGCTCACCTACAGACTAAGCTTTGACTGTAGCTATGTCATGCACATTGGTTGCTCATGCTGCATTATATAGTACCATCAGCCATATCCACCGATGATGATGAAATGGATGGTGTGTATAAATTGTTGATCTGCAGATGGAAATGGCGGACTGAAAGTGGACCAACTGTTAGATGATGGCTCGATTGCCACCGTCCCATCTGTGGATGCTCTTATGGTTGCATTAATATATTACACGATGTGTTTACAGCATATTTGTTTCTTAGTGTTCATGATAAAAAGTTCGTGGAGAAAGTAGGACAAACATCTGATTTTTGGCGTTGTCCATCACTGCAAACTTTGAACACAGATGGGGATTAAATAATGAATAATACCATTCTCACATGTTTTTCCTCCCTGCAACCATTGCAAATGCAAGGCAAAGAAATCCCCCTCAGCTCTCCCTCTCCCCCCCCAAAAAAAAAAAATAACAACGCAAAAACTTAAATACAAGAAGAGAAAGAAAGGAAACAAAAGGTGGGCTTCTCCCTTTCTCAAACAACCTAAAAACAGAGAAAGGCCTCCTCCCCCCTAACACATCTTTTTACATCTCCCCCACCCTTTCTCTCACCTCCATATTAACAAAAACATTTTAGAAAGAGAGGTTATGATCTCCCTCTGTCTCTAGGAAGAGTTGACAGAGGAGGAGCGCCAAGAAGTGGTATTGCTGTGTCTCTTGGCTTCGAGGGCAGCGCCATCATTGAGCATGTCTTGAGAGTCGGTGTCCATTCCAAGGTGAGAGAGAGCAAGTGCCTGCATGTAGAAGGCGGTAGGCCATTCGGGCAAGCAGACCTGAGCCTGCATAGCATCCCTTAGAGCAAGCTCCGGCTGCTTGTTCATTAAGTATGAGAGTGCCCTCCTTGCAAATAGAGTCGGTGAAGGCACTGACATGATCACCACGAGCTGCAAAATTAATCAAAAATTTTTTATTCTTGTTTTTTTTTTCCCAATTTTGGGAAAACCACCATCATTTGTTATTGATGGTCCAAGTGGAAATGAGCATGTTCTATTTGTTGTATGGAATGAAGAGTGGGCAGTGAAAGGGAATGGATGGTGACACCTTAGAATAGTAATCAATGGCGGTTTTGAAGTCCTTGTCCCTGAATGCGATGTCTCCAAATTTCTTTGTGTTCAGCATCTCTTGAACTTGTTGAGTCCATTCTTGAAATGACAGCTTTACACACCACAATTTAACATAATTTCACTGATTCAGATTGTGCCCAAACCCAAAAAAGTCTTAGCAGCTTAGTTTTTGTGACATCCCAAGCACTATGGGAAAATTTTCCGGTAGAAGATTACTTTGTGCCTTTTTCTAGGACTAATAAGACATCAAAATGTAGGGATTATGGTTATTGTAAACTATTAATAGGTAAGCATGACAACCTCAAATTTGTAAGGAAATGATTCACTACCGACAATATGCTTTGATTACAATTAATTATTTCCCGAAAAGTTAAAGAAGCAAGGGATTCGGCCACTGCCTTGATTGGAGACCGTGCTGATGACTACGGCCTAGGTCTAATAGGGATCAATCAAGACTTTGGTCCCAGAGAAAGTGATGCATAAATATTATAAACTCCGCAAAGGATCACATGATTTTGAACAATAGGACACCGGGTACCTTGTTGTACATTTTTAATAAATAATATTTTTATTTTATATTTGAACTCTCACAAAAAATAATACCATAATATACATATCAATTTTGAATATACGACTCATGAGTATTGACTACTCACCTCATTTTCAGCACCCTCGTCATCCTTGTATCCAGTTTTAAGTAAAATATCATGTACAGCTGTAAGATCCATCCGGGCACAAGCTTTTCCAAGAGGAGAAAGCATTATAGGCAAAGCCACTGTATTTTTTGTTAGGCCCATCAGAACATGTGATGCCACCTACACAGAAAAGAAAGCAATATTATAATCATGTCTCTAACTATGAGAACCAGTGTTTTTGTGTGAAAACAATTCACATAAACCTCGGATATGACCTGCACACAATGGTGTCATATAGCACAATATGTTTCCAGAGTGTACAGGACTTTTTGCTATTTATTGCATTACTAATAAAACTATAAATTAATTAATCAACTAAATGAACTCCGGACGAAGCTCCAAAAGAAAACAAATCCAAGAAATCAGCCCAAATAGGATTTTTGAGATCAGCGCAGTTGCAAGTTGCAAGAATGTGTTTCTCAGATAGAATACAACAGGTAATATGCCTGTAATTGTTGATAATTTCTGAAACCTTTTATATTACAAATTTCATTGTTCAGAAAATGTAACAAGAAATATGAAATCATCAACACAATATTTCCAAGCTGATATTGCATTATATGGATAACATAAAGACACTTAAAGAAACAAAGATAGGGATATACCTCCACTTCCTTTTGAAGAGGAGCAATAGCTGTCAGAAGAAACTTATAAGTTGGTCGGTCCCTAGGTTCAAACTGAAGGCATCTTGAGGCAAGACCCACTAACTTTGTGGCATCTTCACTTGCATATTGCCCCTCTAGTGATGAGTCCATTAACAACAGCAAGTTCTTTCCCCTTATCAAATCTAAAGCCTGCATCAGAAAATGCCATAGGATCCAACCTACAGGTTTCAGATCCAAATTTTTGGCTCATCCAACCAAGTTACAAAGAGAAGGACAAAATGGGGACTTAGTAGACTTTAAATCATTTTTTTTTCCGTAACACAAACTTATGAAGCTATACAAGTTCCAGAGGAATTGCATCATACATGGCTAGGGGGAATATGCTTTCCACTCAAAAGGTCCAAAAGAACTGTTCCATAACTGTATACTACACTCTCCGGAGTGACTCTGCCTGCATAAGAAAATCCTAATCAAAGAGGGTTCAAGACAAAAGTACTTATCAACTGACCCAGTATAACTTATCAACACAACAGTTCTGTATAAATTTGAAATGAAAAAATTAGTATATAACCATAATGACTCTAAGAAAACAAGATCTAGCAAGGTGAACTTTTCTTTCTTTTTCGATTTTTAGCAAGATGGCATTTTCTGTATTCAAACATAATTTTAATATCTGCACCTGTGAATCTAGGGATTGAAATGAGAAAATGGGTGCATAAATATCAACCTGTCCGAAGAAACTCAGGAGGAGTGTAGGCCAAGTTGGTACTGTAGCTTTTTCCATCTCGGCTATTTTTCATTACTCCAAAGCTTGACAAACGAGGATCCCCATCCTGAGAATGTACAAGACAGTGTCATGAAATCTCCAAGGGAACTAAATCTAATTGAAACCAAATATTTTAAAAGACATACTCAACAACACAGAAGTTAAGGGCTGCATGACCTCTTTCTAATTTTTTTATAATTACAGCTATTTGACCATTCCCAAGATCGGTAACATAACAAATCAGATACCCGTGTCAAATTGTAATGAAGATGGAATCAGATTGTTACATGATTATTTCCATTTATTTGTAGCAACAATATACTCACAAAGGTCAAAACTTCAGCTATCCTCCCAAATGAGCATTCATTGGTGGGAATAGGAGCAGTGGAGACATACCACAAGAGCAGGATGTCTTACCATTATAATGTAAGTATAATGTAACCATTACTGGTAAGCTCCGTCCTTTTGATCAAATTTCCAATATTTAACTAGATTACAGCAGTGTTACACGAACGCCGAATGTCCATAAGTGTCAAAAGTGTCTAAATACTTCAGCTAAAACTACCAATACAGCTTTACAAGTTTGTATTATTGTTGTTTAAAAATAAAATATTACTTTTTTAGTATATGTGATATAATTTTCCATCCTATACCACATAAGAAACGGATGGGGAGGCAGTAGAATAGGAGATGGTACAGCCAAAAATGGCTTGAGTTCAAGTCCCACCATGAGCCTCTTCATAGCTATTTTTTTGCTTTTAATATACCAAGGTTTCCTCAAGTGTCACACGCAACACCAGCCCAGGGCTAAAATATTGTAACACTGGATGGCCAATGCTCATAAGGAAGCACATGATCAGACCTAGAACAGTATATGCTCCCCTATTAATATAAAAAGGTCTAGATTGTTTTTATAAAAAGTCATGAAAAGTTCAAACAAAAGAATTCCATTTCTTCTATGAGTATGTGGACGTACAGGCATGCAAAGGGCTAACACAACAACATTACTTCAACAACTGGGTTGAATTTGGCAAATCTGATGGCCAGACACCTCACTTTTAGCTGCTTCTATAGTTTGAAAATTTGGCCGCCCAGCCACCTAGGTGCCGGGAGGCCAAAACTCCTGCGCAGCACCTAGACCCATGTTGGAAAAACCAGGCAATCTAATCGATAACCGCTAGATTAGATTGGAACCGGCCACTGGCCGGTTCCGGTTTAAGGCGGTTTTGGTACTTGACCAGTATTTTTAAAAAATAAATTTTAAAAAATGTATATAAAATCCCAAAAATAAGGAATTTGATTTGAATACCTTTTTTAATATTCTTTACATTATGGTAAAGATTATAAATTGTTTTGGTCATTAATACTCACTTTTATATTTTTCCATCTTTTTTAGAAAATTTTAAAATACCCCTAGGCACCTTTAAATTCCATTTTTTCATTAATTTTCAACTTCATTTGAATGTGTTTTATTTTAATCATCCTCCGTAGGGTGTGGTTTTTATAAGGTTGCAACCCTAAACAATCCAATTAAGGCGCACTTCCAAATTTTATCATAATATGTAATGTTGGTGTAAAAAAAGTATTGGGCTTATCTTAAAATCTATTTCATATCTAATTATAAAATTTTAAACTCCAAAAATGGTTAAAATCAAGTAGAGCTATAAACATATGAAAATCTTGAAAATGGATGGTCTAGATAATTTGTTGCAAGATGCACTATTTTTGGTACTCAACAATTTTTTTTTTTTTCATATTCATACATCTCATCTCGATGTCGAGATGATCAATTAGAGGGTTTTTTAACATTAAAACAACATTTTCCGATAGATTTTTGAGGCGCATATGTAATTCTACATTTTAAGGTTGCAACCTTATATAAACTTTTGCCTTCTTTGTATGGTTCTCATATTTTAATAGATTTTTTTTTGTATCTTTTTTAATTTTTTGGAAACTTTTTTGACCATGCCATGACTTGCCCGATTAGAACGGTTGAATCGGTCGGTTTACCGGTTAGGCCAGTTAAACCACTTCTGGCCACATGTTTGGTTAACCGTTCCGGTTCGATTTTGTGAACACTGACCTAGACAGACCACCAAGGTGCCATCTGTCTAGGCGCTTGCCTAGGTGGCGCTCACTTTAAGACAGGCGCCTAGGCGTCGCCCCATGAAAGGGACTTGAGGGCGGAAAAATGCTATAGGCTTGGGGATTTTCGAGATCCCCCCCTAACGCCCAAGAAAAAAAAAAAAAAAACAGAAAAAGGTGGGGGGAAGGATTTAGGGGGACATTCTAGTTTAGAGAGAAAAACATTAAAAAAACTTGGGATTTGAGATTTTTCACAAGACAAAAAAAATTTCAACTTTACTTCGAAGTAGTTTTTGGAGCTTGGAGTGGTCACATAAGAGTACTTTCAGTGACTGAAGATCACTGGTTTGGGCCGTTATCAGTTTCATTTTGAAAAGGTTAGTGCATTACAATATTTTAATCACGGTTTTCTTCTGTTTTTTTGGTATAATGTATTACGATTTGAATCATTTGATTTTTTTTACTTGTTTTTTTTATTTATTATATTACTACATATTTGTAGTTGAAAGCTTGAAATGTTTTGTCAATATTTCACGGTTTGAACCTATATCGAATTTCTTTTGAAATTTGAAAAGCGCAGTGCAATACAAGATTTGAATTAGAGTTTGATTAATCTTTTGTTTTTCTTTTTTGATATTTTTATTTTACATGTTACTTTTTTGTTTTCTTTTTTTTGATATTTTTTTATATTTTTACATGTTTGTCTTTATATTTTTACAAAAGAAATCCGCCACACCCCCCCTTCCCTGGGAGGAGGGGGAGGTACGCCTAGGTGCCCCCAAACTGCCTAGGTGGCCACATCCGACTTCTTCAACATTGGATGCTGCTGATTATTTTGGGTGGATAGTCTAAGAAGATGAGATTATCAATGCCCATATAAAAAATTGAGGCAATTTGAGTTTGCTTCTTGGAGCCTGCAATTCATAACTTCATATGCTGACTCATGAATCTGATCACTATATATGTTACTGTAGAACCAATTGGCAAGAGTAACAAAGACTAAAAGACCTTAATTAAGATACGCAAATTCAAGAGAACATAGCTCGACTTTGTTCATCAACAAATTACAGCAAACAAATTTACCTCATCGAAAAGAACTCTAAATGCATTCAAATCATGATATATTCTCCGATTTTCAGTGTTGCAATGGTCTAGTGCCTGTGCGATATAGTATGCAACCCTCAAACGCATTGCCCATGGCATTGGCTGCTTCTCCCCTATCACAGAGCAGAAAAACTACTCGATGCATATTTACATATTATTATAGTAATTTAAACATGCCAAACACAGTATACCACACATTTAACTGTTCAAGTGCAAAAGACTGTAGCAGATTAATTGAGCAAATGTGAGTGAATTTAAAACACTTACACATGCCGAATACACATTAAAATTCATTTCTCTCTAAAGCATTAGCAGATTGCATCCATATGCATGCAGTACCCCCAAATAATCATCAAATGCAGTAACCATAACCATACCATGTCAAATGAAGAGGTAATCCATACTTTAAGGTGAAAGGAGAGAATTGTAGAAGAATATGTAAAAAGCCACTTAATTATCCGAAAAACACATACACAGATAATTCAATTTTTAGATTGTAGGCACATTATAGATATGTCAAGGAAATTACAAAAATCATGCTGAGCACGTACATGACAACCATAAGAAAACTGCTATACTTTTTCCATGCATTCAGCAATGGTTAACGGTAAACCACTTCAGCAATTGGACAAGGAAGTTTTAGCTGTGGCAAGAGGGTCACATGATAGAACTATAGAGATTTCCTGAGCTTAACATGGATGGAAGAGCAAGGCTAATCAAGAAAAATAAGTTTATGTGAATCTTCAGGATCCAAAGGTTATAAGAGTTGGATGAGTTGGATGTTGGAACTCGAGAACAAATTCCTTCATATTTATTTTTTTGCTAAGCAATTCCCCTAGTTTCAGATAGACATGATAACATTTTTGTGACAATTCTAAGCCTGAAAATTTTCTAAACTACAAAACCAAAACAGTAGCTGATGATTCAACATTTTAAATTATGGATCCTAAATAGATCCTTTCCTTTATCAATCATAATTATGTAGAACCAAAGGACAAGTACTAGCTGATTGAAAAAGCCTAATAGTCAAATTTCCAGGGCCTTACTCTTTCTCACTGTTCAAAAGCTTAAACTTCATCCCCATACAGGAAATGTCAAAAATGAGTGTAGCTCACCCGTTCAACTTATCAACTCAGAGAAACTCGGCAAGTTTCTCAAGTATTGCAAACAAATGTCTGTACCAAGATTTGAACTTGATGCCAAGTCGATAAAGGGAATACACACTGCAACAATTCCACAGTCATTGGGAGTGGGAGCCAGAGCAAGAAAGTGTCACATGCTAGAAGCTCCTAAATTGGGACCTCATTCCTTACAATTATTTGATTAAGAAATAAAAATTGAAAATTTATTAAACATAAAAGACCAATAACCTAAAAAAAAAATTAAAAAAATGGGCACAAAAAATGGGCAACAGAAAATCAACTATTATCAATTAAATTTATTTGATTAATAACTAATATTGATTACTAACTAATATTTCTATATCCTGTTGAGGTGTAGTTTATGTAACAATAATCCCACAAAATACAATATAAAAATGTTATGATGATGCGCCTCATATAACTGGTAATAATATAAAGGAGCTGATTTTTATTGATAAAATATACTCTATTTACATTTCTACACTTAACAGCTTCCAAAAGAATTAAGAGAACGAGAGAGTATGATAGCAATTAAGATCCAAAAGAATCATCTTCTTGGCCTCGTGTTGCCCCTTGGGGCTACGAGCGACTCCTAAAATGTGGGGATCGAGATATCCAAATTTACAGATAGCAATCCCATGGAGATCTCTATCCTGGAGCACCGGAGTGAGATTCTAGAATGCATTGGCAACTAGGTTGGGAGATCCCGGTAACTATAAACAAAACCCATGATTCATCTTGGTATTAACTTTGGCATATTGATTTTATAAACTAAAAACGTTCACCCAAACCCAAGATTTTCATAATAGAATTTATTCATGGGTCAAACCAACTTGACTTGGCCCCTCTGCAGCAGTTGAGGAAAGACTGTTCAAGGGCATTGCAATGAGCAGAGACCCTGTGCACAACTGAGTTGGGAGGAATGTGACAAAGGGAGCCATATGGAAGGAGTTTCTCAAGGCCCTTCAGGTGAATGAACTGTGCAGAGAATGAGAGCCTCTCATTGAGAGCTTTTCCTTAAAGCGTAAAACCCTAAGCTAACCCACCCAAGTGTTTGTCCTAAAGTGATACTTTGCAAGCCTTTCCTATTCAAATATAGTATCTAAGGAGGCCAGAAAGAAACTATAGGTGGTCAGTAATCACAGAAAGGTTATTACAATCCTAATGAAATCCACACCTTTTCTCACTAGTTGGTTTCAAAGCTTTGTCATCATGGAAGATGGGCATTTCATAGACAATATCCAATGATTCCCGCTAAGAGTATTGACCATGGGAATCGCTACCTAAAAGTTAATAAAACCCAGTAATGTGCTCTAAACTAGAAAGCTGGCAGGATACCCTTGAACACAATAGTTCAATCATCCGAAAATAATGCTTTATTTTAGGACCTTTTTTTTTTAGGATTCAATTGACACGGACTTCTTACTTCTCTGAATAATTTTCTTAATAATAAGAGAGTGAAGGAAAGTTTCTTCATGTTAATGCCAATTGAGGGGCTATAAGCTCAACTTAGACAGCATTTCAAGACACTCAGGAGTAAAGAGTTATTTAGAGGAGCAGCTTCGGGGGAGTTAGGAAGGTCTTCATGTTGTCAAGAGGATGTATGACTTGGCATAAGTAGAAAACTAGAAGCCCGAGCACTTTGAATTGGGTCTTAGACAGCCCTCACAGTTCGGCTGAGGCCCTATGAGAGTACATCATGATTCTGAGAATACTATTCCACTTCAGATAAACAGAGTGCCAATGGTCTTGAAGGGACATGAGTTTTCCCAATAACTATAGATTCCCAGTTTGATTCAAACAAGTCACCCTAAAAATCACAAATTCCAACTTTTGGAACCTATTTTTTATTGTTACCATTCCAGAACCATAATAAGTGTTATGTAGAGCAACTAATTTAGGGGGTAGCTATTTCCTTATAGAACATTTAAGACATAACCAAAGTGACCCTACTCCAGCTTCCAAAATTACTGGTTCTTAAGTGATTCTCAAGACATCTTGTTTCTGGAATTGGATTCTCGATACATTCCTATCCAAACTTTGATACCTTTTATGTTCTTGCACTCCCATTACATTTCAGGCTTCTAAGGATCAGAGAGGATCTAGTCCATTGCAAAGTTTGACTCCCAAATCATGCATACAAAAAGGAAAGAAAAAATTCAAAATTCCAATTCATACAAAACTCCAACGTCGAATTACATATTAAACAGGAACTTACAACATCAAATTATTGATTCATATTATTTTCCAAGCAATAGACTCTTATTGGCACTTTCTTCAAATAGTTAAGTGAGCAATTCAACATGGTAAGCTCAGAAAGAAAAGTCTATAAAGCAATAAAATCAACAAGAATATAGTACGTACAGTGAAAGAGGTGCTTGGAAAGAGTATCATTAGGCATGTATTCCGCAACGAGGAGCCGTTCATCTCCTTCAGCACAACACCCAATCAGATTCACTAACCGTTTATGCCGGACCTTCCCAACACCTGCAGCTTCAGCCTGTTTATCTAAAATAAATCAATCACATTTTATACATATTTCTCGTTACTGTATGGGCACAATATCTATAAGAATTTTGCACTAAAAAATTCCCATTATTTTATAAGATTAAGAATAAAAATTTGCTTAAGAACCATAACATAAACTCCTAGCAATACAAAATATTAAAAATATTGTACACCCAATTCGTGGATAGGGAAATTTTACTGCAAATTGTCGTGCATCTGGCCATGACTCCTTTGAGAAACGTTTGATAGCGATCAAGCGATTGTTGTCGAGCTTCCCCTTGTAAACAACATTGGGAGCTTTCTCACCACTCTCAGATATTATTAACTCTCTACTGAACCCATTTGTAGCAGCACGCAGCTCAGCAAGACCGTACTCTTTGAAAGCCGCAACCTTATCTTCCTCAACCCCATCCCCATTTGCTAAAAACCATAAAGTTCAAAATTCAAGAGAATCACCCTAAAAAAATTAACCCAAAGGAATAACAAAAAGCATGCACCTATTTTCATCAATGTGATCCATACATGAAAGGAATTGGAAAATCGAGAAAGAGCTCATACACTACCAGAAACAAAATATGCATTTTGCTAATACAAAAACCATACGCACCAACCAAAATAGAATTCATATAAAAAAACTGGCATACACATCCCAGAAGAAAAATTAAAAAGAAAACAGTAGAAGAACAAGCAAGCACCGAGCAGGTAAATGCCAGAGCTATAATTAACCCAACAAAAACAATGATTAAATAACAGATACCAGTGCATAATCAACTTCATGATATTTTTCAAAAAAAAAAAAAGGGCAAACAGTAAGCAAAGAACGAAGGAAAATGAGAAAACCCAACAACTACAGAGACAAAAAAGGATGGAGATTTACCTAGATCTGGTTTCTCTGCCTCTAACAATTCACCATCAGGACTTCGAAAATTGTTTGGTTTTGACGGAAAGCACCCCATATCTATCCCTCCACTCCCAAAATCTCATACAATCAAACCTTATTCACTCTTCCTTGAATATCATTGGAATTTATCCCATGAAACATCCTACGTTTCACCAATAAACCCGAATTCAACTTTGAAAAGCCTTCAAAATCCGCTTTCTCACTCTAGGAACAAACACAGCAACAGCTCAACTAATTTCACAAGGTTCAACCAATTAACTGTAAATAACTACCATTCAGCTTTTAGCTGAGCCCTATCATAATGGAATTCCTGCAAAATGCAAGACATCAATGCGAATATTTAAGCCTGGAACATGGATTATGAGAGAAAGTGAAAGAGTTTGAAGTGCAAAGTAATGAGTTGTGGAGATTTTCTAGGGTTTCAGTACGTTACCAGTTTCTTAGCAGATGGTCACATGATGACTGCATGAGGGAGCATGTGATGAGAGAGAAGAGACAGTTTTCTGTACACCGGTTTTAACTCAGTTCGAGCTTTCTCTCTCTAAATTCTAAAACAACAATATACAGTATACACTGTGGCGGTTTTTCTCTCTAAAACGTAATGCACTGGAAGAAGTGGAACAGTCAAATTAATTACAGTTAGGAACCCTAAGATTCAGGTGTTTGACGCTGGTAAAAGTACTAAAATGCCCCTAAACTTCCAAATAATCTATGTCATTTCCAAGAAAATGTACAAACTATAAAGACAATTTCTTTCCTTTTTTTTTTTTACCACTAAACAAATAGTTTGTTACTTGTAAATCAAATATGTATGTGCGAGAAATATATTTTAAATTTAGAGAAAATTAATCTCATACCTCTTAATATATAGTTATATAAAATTTATCTAAAAGTTTTCAATTTTATATTTATATCTCTTTTTTCTATAAATTTTATATATTCTGGATCTTCAATATCTGAAAAATAAATATTTTAGAAATTAATTTATATTCTAAAGCATGGGACATCCAAAATTAGTTGTGTTCAAAATTTGTGAAGTTTCAACTTGATTTTCGGACGACGAATATCTAAAATACAAAATTTTGGACTTTTAAGGTCCGAACTAAGGATACTTTTTTGATGATGTGGTTGAAGTCATGTCCAATATCCAAATTTGTTGATTTATAGAATTTCAAATTTTCAATGTCCAAAATAAATACGGTTCATGAGCAAATAAAAAATAAATCACAAAAATTACGAGAATAAATTACAAAAAATTTTAAAATTAATCACAAAAATTTCCCTGAAATCTATGCATTGAGTTGATTAGGGTTTAGGTCCAATATATATAAAGAAAGAAGTTGCACAAATATTTGGAGAGAGAGAATGGTTGTAAATTATTAATTGCTAAAAGGAAAAGAGAATGGTTGTAAATTATTCATTGCTAAAATGAAAAGAGAATGGTTGTAAATTATTCATTGCTAAAAAGAAAAAAGAAAAAAGCAAAAAGAATGGTTGTATATTCTCAAGAATGATTGTATGTTAATTCTTAATAATTTGTGGCGATGATAACCATCAATGACAAGGTAAACCATTGTCAACTTTTTTTCTCCTAATCACCCTCTAGTCCTGACCTTTTCTTGATAAAATACTCTTTACCACTTAAAGTTTTGTTAGATGAATGGTTGCATCTCAAAGTCTTGTTAGATGAATTGGATCCAACATTGAAAACTTTGTGATGGCCACTTAAAGTCTTGTAGATTGCATCTAAAAATCTTGTTAGGTGAATTTGATCCATCACTGAAAACTTTGTGATGGCTTGCAAATCTATTTTCCCCCCCTTTATCCCACCCAACCCAACCCAACCATATCATATAATTTGAAGCTTAAAAAATGGTGCATGTTTAGCAGATCTATAAATTTTGAAACAAACGATCTGAAAGATGGATCACTTACATAGCTTCAAATGCATTTGTTTTTTTGTAGAGATGGAGGCGATCAATTTAAAAGTTTCTGGCACTAAAATTTCATTTTCTTGTAAGATCCGACATGCAAAAGCTCTGATTTTACAAAATACTTTTGCATTTTTCACTTACCTATATTTTTAAGGCAAGGTACCTTTAGGGGTTGTAATGGTCAATTTGGACTTAAGCATATATAATTGTTATTTTAAAAGTGATTGGGCATCTCAAACTTTTAACTAAAGAACCATTGTTTCATGCCGGTTGGACCGCGTTTAGGGGTCAAGAGGTATAAAGCATCCATTATGGATGAAAATAGGTGGTCCATCTAAAAACAATTGTAACTAACGGTTCAAATATTTTTTTTAAGATAATTATTATTTTTAGCTTTCAATTTTATTTTATTTTTATAATCATGATATCTATATTACAGGTTATATATTCTCTAAAAATTAAGATCGAATTATATTTTAAAAATATATTTATTGCCGTCCATAACTAAAATGTGTGTGTGGCTCTCTCAATCTATTAATTTTCAAAAAAAGAAGAAGAAAAAGTATTGACCAATGAGTAGCAAAAACCATTGTTTAATAATTGGTTGAAGGGAAAGGATGCTAAAAAGGATAGGAAAATCAAAGGACAAAAGGTAACATAGGGGGTCGTGTGCACCTTTTATAAGCTATGTGACTCACTAAAGCTTTGGAGATAGAGGGCCTGTGTGTATGATTTGGATTGATTCTCTAAAGGGAACTTTTGGGGTACAGTGATTTTCTTGAGTCCACACTATGGGGTTGCTCTCTCTCTCTTCTCTCTTTTGGGGGACACAGATTTTCTTGAATCCACACTATCTTTCCCTCTCTGTTTTGGGAGTGATTTTTTTGAATCCACGCTATTGGTTTATGTGAAATATGTATATATATATACAAAATTTAAATATTATAATTAAAAAACAATAAGGTTTGTACAGAGTCGAGGCTCTAAACAATCAAAATAAAACGTACCTTCAAATAGTATCGAAAAATATGCTTTCAATATAGAAATCTTTGTGATAGCCTTAAAATATATTTTTATTTTTTAATTATACGATTTAAAGCTTAAAAAATAGTAACAGAAGTAGATCTATAGAAACTTGAAGATCTTTAAAATTGATGGTCTAGAAGTACATTACAAGATGCAGTATTTCCAAAACTTGAAATCTATTTTTTTTCTTATCTTCATGCGGCTTGATATCGAAATGATCAATTTGAGGATATTTGGGTATCAAAATAATAACTTTTAATGAAATTTTTGAAGTGAGTTCTGATTTGATTGTTTAGAACCTCAACTCTATATAAAATTTTCAATTAAAAAATATATGATTATATTTATTTAAATATTATTAAATTATTATATATTAAATATTTTTAAATAATAACTCTACTCGGTTCAGGTTCAGGTTCAGGTTCAGATCTAATAGTGTTCACGTTGGACTTACCGAAATAGTATCCGCATCTAATATTTGGACCCAAACCCAATCCGCCGGATCCAATTTTTGATCCATTGCGAGGTTGCTCTCTAAGAAAATTTAACGTCACGTTCTTGTGTTACTTTAGGCAAAGAAATGAGGAGTATTTAATGCAAGAGGAGATAGGGGTAGGTACAAAATGGAATGCAGCTTTAACTACAATATTTATGAGCCACCATATGATAGGACTTGATGTTTGCCCAATTGATGCCCATTATTAACCCTTATAACTGTACTTCATTTATAGGTAAAACTGGCCCGGGTGCAGTCTATATAAGGCGGCAACGGTAGAAGAAACATTGCGGTGTTTTTCACTTCCTGTTTAGTTAGATTGCTTAGGTATGAGACATCTTTAAAATAATGTAAGAAAAAAGTGGTATGCTTTTTGAAACAGTGTTAAGTCCACGCCATTAATATACAATAGACTGCACTACTTCTACAAGTATGATTGCGTCCTTATATAAACTTTTTCTATAATTTGATATATACCGACTATAATTAGTTATGGCCAAGTTAGCAAGACTTTTTTATGTTAATACCTCAATTAAGGGAGAGGGCATCTTAACTCGTCAAAAAATGGACAAAAAAATAAGAGAGATGGGGATCTTCTTCGAATTTCAACATTTATCATTGGACATCATTCGTTTCACGTTTTCAAGGGCTGAGAATTTTTTGGATTGGGTTTGGATCCACCAAGATTTGGATCTGGATCTGGATCCAAAAAGTATATGTGAGATCCAAATAGGAAAATATACATGGGAACTGGATCAGGTCTTCTAAAAGTTTAAAGTGTATATATATATATACATATATATATATAAAATTTTAAAAATTATGTTAGATCCATATCGGGTCCACTTGTACCCGGATCCTATCCAAAATACTACTTGGATCTAAATTTGGGATTTGGATCCAGATTTTAGATTGAAATCTTGGATCCATACTTGGATCCAACATTCGGGTTTCAGATTTGGATCGAGTAAATTCTCAGCCCTAACGTTTTCTCCATTTTGAATTATCAATCAATTTTAGTAGTTAATATGATCTTTACTTTTAAGATACGGTTATTGGGCTTGAGCTTAAGTGTTAAGCAATTTAACTTTAGAAATACTACATCTCAAGTTCGATTCTTACCATTGAACTACCAAAAAACGTGGGCTTTTCGTGTGTGTCAAAATTATTCACATGTCGTTCCCCTTCTAAAATTTGTCTTAAACAATGGATTTTGGAGAATGAAGATGATTTTATGTTGGGTGTGTGTGGCCATTAAAGGCCTTGTGCATGCTTGTATGTGATGGACACCTTTAGAGATGCGGCCAAAGCCTCATCCATGTATCATCACATGGTATGCATATTGATAGTTATTTTCAAGAAAGCGAACCACTTTTCAGGGTGAAGCATGCGCATGTGTGAGAGAGAACCCCCGTACATCATCGAGCAATGGATTGCATAAAGGTCTGCGATCTTGGTTCGCCTCGAGGGGAGAATCAGAAATCCATAAATTGGGACTACGACCCCTTGCCCATTGGCTAGACTTTGGTGACTCACTAATGATCCCCTACATAGATTGTAGGTCATGGGCAACGTTGGGTCGGTTTGAGAAAGCATGTGTGGTAAGTGATTCACAGTTGAAGGTGGCGTGCCCCAGTGCACATTTATTCCTAGACCATATGGATCATTTTCTCATTAAAGTATTTAATTTTGTTTATTTTAATAATATATGATTTTTAGAACTGTTATTTGAATTTTTTTAAATCTTTGGATATTTTATTTATCAAATTTGGATTTATAAAAACAGATATATTGATTTAAATATTAAAATATGATTTTATGAATTTCTAAAAATAATTTTATTTCAAATATTGTATGAGAGGCCTAATAGGACTTTTGGGCCCACCATTGCAAATTAGGTGGGGCCCATTATGTGCAACAATGGATGGCACGCCCCACCTAGGAGACTTTCTAATTTATGTTGGTCAAGCTCTAAAGCTCGAGGGATAAGAAAGTATTGTAGTTTAAGCCTTGAAGAAATTTTGAATGAAATTTTGGTATGTATGAGAACGCTTATGCATAAAATAATAAAGTATAATATCATCATATATTAATTTCTTATTTGAATTAATTGATGGCAAAATGGTTTAGGAAGTGGGGG